GTCAACCCAAATAGCCATTGAAAAGGGACATAACACCCTGATGGTGATTTCATACACAAAGTTGGGGATGCATGATGAACCACATTAAGGGGACACAACACTTGTACAACTGTTACGAGTTATCCCACACCCATCGTCCACTCTCTGGCAATTTAAAAATACAAATAATCTTTCTCTATTCGTCTCTGCGCTAGGATTCGCTCTTTTAACGCCTTCGGTGAGTTCTTGGCGTAAAATAGAATCTCGATGATGCAAGTTAAGACCAAAGCACTGCACCAGAGTATGTTTGTTGTTACAAAAGTCATGCGCAATGGCTACTGTTTTAGTTTGTCAACTACTTCTGAAGGTTATTATCTGATGGGTGGTGGGCGTAGGCTTGTGCCGGACACAACTTGACCTCAGGTAACCCGGAGTGTTCCCTGGCTAACGGTAACCATGTCTAGTCCCGTTTTCGAACCTGACGGTCCATGGGGCAAGTGAAGTAGAGTTCACCTGTTTCTCTGACCACGCATATGAATGGATAGAGTGGTCACAACAGTTCCCAGCCGCCTTTACTTTTATTAACGTGAGTAGGGCACCCATCAAGATGTTCTCATGGACGTTCTACTGACTTGAATCCGGATTCGAACTGAATACTTTTGTTTTAACAGTTTAGCGCTAGGCAACACCATCATTGTGATGCCATTATCTACATCACACGTATGTAGACATTGTCTTTCCTAGTGTAGTTTCAAAAAAGAAATTTAAAATGGCCGTACAGTCTTCTGGTATAAAAATGGCTACAAGCTCTATCCCCTTTGTGGCGTTAAAACTTTTATATGCAATTTTGTTTCAAATACAGGCACTTCATATTTTATAGCTTATGTATAAATACTTTTTTAAAAAATAATAAATAATTAACATACGAATTATTACATAAGCGCCCTATTTTGTTTAGAAAGAGCTAAAATAAATAAACTTAGATTTGTGTAATGTTGAATTTGTGTTAGTTACTTCCCATCTGTAAATTAAATAAAGCAACGGTAGACAACCTTCAAAAATGTGTTTGGTAAAATTGTTAAAAGCTTATGGATACTAAAAGCAGTAAAATGAAAAATTGTTTTTGAATTAGACAAAGGTTCAAATTTAAGCTTTGTTAATGGTTGTCTAATTTTATATTTAATAGATTTTAGAATTATAATTTGTCTAGAGTTTAAATAACAAACCACTAGCTCGCTTACATTCTTAATTTAAAGATGCACGATAAAGTCTCTAAAACAATTACTACGCAGTGAAAAGTAACATTGTATTCGGCTAGAGTCTAGATCTAATAATGTCATTTTATTTTATCCGTTTAATTACTATACATGTAATTGATGGTCATGTCTTTGAAACTTCTTAAAGTTAAACTACCAAATAAATTATAATTTCTATCTTAAATGTTTAAAATAAATTAAAAAACTGTGTGAGGACTGCTTTAGATATAGATGTTTGAAAGGGAATAATGTTTGATTTGATGCGTCTCATTATAATCAAAATTACTTTTCCATTAGCTTAAAATTTGTATCATTTCAATTTTCTGTAATCCAAAATTTACTTCAGCTCTTCTTAAAAGCCCCCCCCCCCCCCCCCTTAGCACACGCCGTCAGCCCACCATGCCGATTGAAAAAAAAAACAATCCATTGAATCATTTAATTAAACATTTGAATTTTCAGATTTTAAAACGAAATTGTAATTAGAAGTTTTGTATTAGATCTATGTATCAGTAAACCATCTTAAATGAATGAAAGTGGGCTACAAGTAAGAAAGAAATATTACTATTGTAAATCTGTATCACTCCTCTAAGGCTGATGATGAAAACTGTAATACTAAAGCAAACATGCAAGGCAAACTGACGCTGTAAATTACATGTCAGAGGCGAAAAATGGCTGAGAAATGCCCAAATTAAGCAATATTAATACAAATGCCTTGCTTTGATACTGGACAGCCAAACGTTCTATCGATATATTAAAAAAAAACAGTTCACAAAGAAGCTTCCACAATGAATCAACCAGTTCACCTGCACAACCCTAACAGAAAAGCTGCATCCTTAGCCTGAACCATTGGCTGTTATCCTTAATTGTACATATTTTAAGGTCTACTTTCGCTTTGTAATACGGTCTTGATCAGAAAATATTAGAAATATGTTTGGACAACCACAAACCCACCCACACATCCACACCCAGACACACAAACATCCACCCACAGCACACTTGCACGCCCACACCCGCACACAAACACACACACAATACAAATAGTGGAAACGTATCGTTGTTCCAATACACAGTGTAGATATCAACCCGAATAGCCATTGAAAAGGGACATAACACCCTGATGGTGATTTCATACACAAAGTGGTGGATGCTTGATGAACCACATTAAGGGGACACAACACACCTGTACAACTGTTACGAGTTATCCCACAACCAGCGTTCTCTACCCTCTTCCAGTTTATAAATACAAATATTTTTTTCTCTTGGCGTAATATAGAATCTCTATGATGAATGTTAACACCAAACTACTGCATCAGAGAATGTTTGTTGCTGAAAGATTCATGCACAATAGCTACTTTTTCTGATTGTCAACTACTTCTTCAGATTATTATCCGAAGGAAGCTCTTACTGGACCTAACTAAATGTCAAGTAACATCGAGTGATCCTAGGTTAACGGTAACTTAAGTTGGGTACCCATCAACGTGGACACAGGGACGCTCTACTGAGAAACCTGGACTCGAACTGGAGACTTTCGTGTTAACAGTTTAGCACTAGGCCGCGTCGTCCTTCTAACGCCAATATCTACATCATATTTATGCAGACATGGTCTTTTCTGTTGTAGTTTCAAAAGAAATCCAAAATGGCCATTAAGGCGTCTGGTATAAAAATGGCTACAAGTACTATTATCTATGTGGCGTTAAAGATTATATGCAATTTTTTCAAACACAAGCATTGCATATTTTAAAATGTATGTATAAATTTATCTTTTTAAATAAATTGAATAATGTATACACTACTTATTCCCTCAGCGCTCTTATTTGTTTAGAAATAGCAAAAATAAATAAACTTAGATTTGTGTAATATTGAATTTTTATTTGTATTAGTTACTTCCCTTTTGTAAATGAAAACAAACAACGGTAGACAACCTGAACTCTTGTTCGCCAAAATTTGTAAAAGAACATTGATATTAAATGCAGTAAAATAATAAACTGTTTATGATTTAGACAAAGTTTTAAATTTAGTCTTTATTAATATTTTGTCTATTCTTATATTTAATAGATTTTAGAATTATAATTTGTCTAGAGTTTAAATAGCGAACCACTAATAGCTTACATTTTTAATTTCATAAAATACAAAAAAAGTCGTTTAACTGATGTTTACTAATCCAGAATTAGGCTATTTTAATTAATTGAAGAAAAAAATGGGGAACATTGAGAAACAGAGACGCACCTTCTGCAAGGGCAAAAAATGCCAAAAAAGCACACGATACATTAAGTTACTCAGTACAAAGCAGGAAAGGCGTCTTTGTATGCCCAAGGTAAAAGACGTTATGACAGAAAGCAGAGCGGTTACGGTGGTCAGTCCAAACCAGTTTTTAGAAAGAAGGCTAAAACCACAAAAAAAAATTGTCCTTCGTATGGAGTGCACTGAATGTAAATATAGTAAACAATTACCAATCAAGCGCTGCAAACACTTTAAGTTAGGAGGAGACAAGAAAGGGACAGATGGTTATGTTTTAAGATAAATAAAACTTTGGAGGATTGAGAATTTAAAAAAAACTGAAGAAAATGTCAATGAACACAGGTTAACACACCAAAGGCAAGTTCAAACTGCTCTACTTAAAAGTCCAAACCCCCCTCAGCCCACCACGCTGAGGGGGAAAAAATCCCTTGAATCATCATTTAATTACACTTTTGCATTTTTTTTTAAAAAATAAAATAGAATTGTAATTAGAAGTTATGTATTACATCTATGTATAAGTAAACCATTTTAAATGAATGAAAGTAAGCTACAAGTAAGAAAGAAATATTACTATTGTAAATCTGTATCAGTCCTCACAAGCCGATGTTGAAAACTGTAATACTGAAGCGAACATGCAAGGCAAACATACACCACTTCTGGACCACACTGACCACACTGACCACTTCTGGACCACACTGAACACATCTGGACCACACTGACCACCTCTGGACCACACTGACCACCTCTGAACCACACTGACCACCTCTGGACCACACTGACCACCTCTGGACCACACTGACCACGTCTGGACCACACTGACCACCTCTGGACCACACTGACCACCTCTGGACCACACTGACCACCTCTGGACCACACTGACCACCTCTGGACCACACTGACCACCTCTGGACCACACTGACCACACTGACCAGGTCTGGACCACACTGACCAACCCTGGACCACACTGACCACCTCTGGACCACACTGACCACCTCTGGACCACACTGACCACGTCTGGACCACACTGACCACCTCTGGGCCACACTGATCACCTCTGGACCACACTGACCACGTCTGGACCACACTGACCACCTCTGGGCCACACTGACCACCTCTGGACCACACTGACCACCTCTATACCACACTGACCACGTCTGGACCACACTGACCACCTCTATACCACACTGACCACGTCTGGACCACACTGACCACCTCTGGGCAACACTGACCACCTCTATACCACACTGACCACGTCTGGACCACACTGACCACCTCTGGGCCACACTGACCACCTACTGACCACAATCACCAACCACAATGAACCACCAGCAAGACTGGCATTGCAGCCCCCCCCCGCTTTATCGTTTAAGATCGTTTAAGGTCAAGTTCAAGGTCACCTCGCACTTGCGCGTTTTCAACTTGGCTTTAGTTATGGCCATCTCAGTCTAACAATACATTAACTAATTAATTAATTAAAAAGCTACTAACCTGTAAAGTATTGCCGCCGTGAGTCTTGAAGTATGGTAAGAAAATCCCTACAGCAGAACAAGACAAAATGTCATTATCATATCCAACAGACGACCCAGCTGGCTGTGGAAGACAGAGACATGATATCGATCTTTATTGAAAAAAAAAGATGATAATCAGATTATAAAAGGAAAACATGTTTTTAAATATTAAAATTTAAAATCTTACAAAGAGTTTTTTTTTTTTTTTTTTTTTTTTTTTTTTTTTGCGTGTATGCTAAGTGTGGGACGTGCGTCCTTGAGGCATAATGTTCAGAGTTCATCGGGGGTTGGGTAGGGGGGTGGGGGGCAAGGTAAAGTTACATCGTAGTAGAGGAAATAAAGATACAATATCGATCTTTATTGCAAAAAAAAAAAAATGAAAATCAGATTACAAAAGGAAAACAACCTTTTTTTTTTAAAGAGTTATTGCTCTTGCCGTTGTCTGCTTAGTATGTGTAGTGTGTCCTCGAAGCTTACGTTTCGCACCCCGGGGACATGGGGTGGGGCAGGGTAACATTACATCGTAGTGGAAGACAGAAAGATAGGAAACCGATCTTTATTGCAAAAAAGATGATAATCAGATTACAAAAGGAAAACAAACAAATTTTTAAAAAATTATTTCTAAGAGTTATTGTTCTTGGCGTGTCGGGCTTAATGTAGGACTTGTATCCTTGAGGCTAACGGTTCTCAGACTGTGTGTGGTGTGTGTGTGGTATGTGTGTGGGGAGGGGGGGGCATTATATCATAACTAGAGCGCAAACTCAGGGGAGTTACAATCACGGGATGTTACTGAGCAAATAAAAACGTAAAGTTACATTTGCGTTAAAAAAAAAAAAAAAAAACAATCATCAATGATGGGTAGCTGTTTCATGTCGGGGGAAAATATAAAGGCGACTTCAAGCATAGAAAAGTAAAGTTCCCTTTCAAACCTGACGGTCTATAGGGCAAGTGATGTGGAGTTCACTTGTTTCTGTGTAGAGATCGTGTGGTCGGGACTATAACCAGCCGCCTTTACTTTCCCTAACGTGAGTTAGGTACCCATCAGAGTTGGGTGGACCCAGGGACGGTCTACTGACTTGGACCCGGATTCGAACTCGAGACTTACGGGATAGCAGTCCAGCTCTCTACCGCTAGACCATCCCGTCACCTTTAGCATATAACTAACCACAATATCCCTTCAAGTGCCGAGATCACAGAAAAACAGAAAAACTCTACTTCACCTGCCGTCGGCTTTGTAATAGCGCCAACGTTATCCCTGGTCCATAAAATCCTTAAACCACTAACCACGACACCGGCTAGATAAAATAAACTCGCTACGGCTAAACCTAGCCGTGACGGCTTTCACACAACTCCATAGTTGTTGTTTTTTTTGTTTGTTTGTTTTTTGTTAGTTTTTTTTAAAAAGTGGACAAGGAACACACAAGACAGGCGTCCATTGACAGCTTCAGGTAACACAGAACGAGGCTCTTCTTGGGTTGTTTACAACGGAAGTGACGTAAGCAGGAGCTCTTCAATGCTCCACGGGAAGGCTGGGCGGTCGGGTTGTGTAATCAGATATTCTAAAAAAAAAAAGTCGTCTTGTTTTTTTTTTCTCTTTTCATTTCACTGAGTCCGTGTGGCTAAAGTGCAAGATAGTATGGTAATGTTAAACAGTACTTATATGATAGTCGACAAGGCGTATCAGTACTTTTTTTTTTACTTTCTCGCATTCGGAGTATAGAGGAAGTATTGTAATCGTGTAAGAAATCGAAGTCAGATTTTTCAAAATTCTCGGCGTTTTACACCTCCATGAGTCGGAAAAAAAATTGTCTGTGTGTTTGCATGTGTGTCTGTCTGTGAACAAGATAACTTGAGTACCGTTTTAGTTATGTTGACGAAATTTCAGGTATAGGTATTGTATCAAATTTGTAGTTTCTTATCAGCTTTTGAGCGATTTCCGGTAACCGGAATTGGTACGTACTCAACTTCGACTTCCTGTTTCTGGAAAGCCAATAACTTGAAGTACCTTTTAAGTTAGGTGGACGAAATTTAACATATAAGAACTATTTTATATGCGCATATTTCTCTCCGATGGGAACGCGCTAACTTGAGTACTGTTTCAACTAAGAAAATGAAATTGCATATAAAAGTATTTAAAAAAAATTAATTTAAAATAAAAACATTTCTAAAATACAGTATGACTAGAAGTGCCATTAATGTTATATTAGAATATGCGAGCAAGTTTAGGGGAGATAACTCCCGCTTTATATGCTGATGTTACTATTCAGCCTATCCCTTATCAATGTCATAGTCCTAGCCTTTATTTTAACCTAACCCTTTTTCTAACCCCCGAGTCAAACTCTTAACTTCAACACCTAACCCTAACAGTAATGCTAATCACTCAAACAATAAAAGTAATGCTAATCATCCAAACCCTAACAGTAATGCTAATCAGACAGGTAGACATTTCCCCCCCCCCTCCCATCGTGACCATCTCTAAAAATATGTAAATTGAGGCAACAAAATCGAAGGTCCGCCCGGGGTCTCCCAATTATGCAGCCACGCGTCTGCTGGCATAGGTACATTACATTTCAAGCAAGTGGGGGTTAGTAACGCTCCCCCCCCCCCCGGCCTTCACTTGTCAAAATTTGAGGTCAGGAACATAAGGGGCGTTGGTACCAGCTTCCTGGAGGTCATACATAAATACGGGGACGTTATGGAGAAATATAAACGTCATACAGAAATGTGAGGACGTCATATAGAAGTACGGGGGACGTTATGGAGAAATACAGGGACGTCATACATAAATACGGGGACGTTATGGAGAAATACAGACGTCATAAAAATATGGGGACGTCATACATAAATACGGGGACGTTATGGAGAAATACAGACGTCATAAAAATATGGGGACGTCATACAGAAATACGGGGACGTTATGGAGAAATACAGACGTCATAAAAATACGGGGACGTTATGGAGAAATACAGACGGCATCCAGAAATATGAAGACGTCAAACAGAAATACAGAGACGTCATACACAAATATGGGGACGTCATACAGAAATATGGGGACGTCATACAGACTCAAGTCGGGTAACTCTAGGGACCGAGTGGAATTACCTACCAGCCACAACACAATTTTCATTTTCCGAGTGACCTCCCCTGCGGCGAGAACTCATTTTCAACCAAGTTCCATCACGTGATGTTTGTTTTGATTTTACAAAAAAAAAAAAAGTCATATCGCGCGGCAGGGAATCAAACGTCGGCTTTCATATTTTAATACCGCCATTAGCCAACAAACGTATCCTTGACCTTGAAAACGAATGTTGATCACCTCTACCGCTAATATTTTAATCTACACGTGAAGCATAGCCGCACGCATATCCAAGACTACGGTGCGTTAGCACTTTAAAATAACAATGGCTTGGTTACGGTTGCTGAATAAATATATTATGACCGCAGGCCACGGTGTTTTTTTTTTTGGTGTGAAAGCTAGCCCCAGTAGATCCCACTGAGAAAAACACACGGTTAGCCCAGTTACATCTGGGGTGGTCCATCAGTGACACGTCCCCACCCCCCCCCCCAACTTATAGTCAAGCAGGGTCATAAAAAATTCTAGACCCCCACACACCCCCAAAACTAAAAATGACGAAACAACCCCTCCCTCACACACCCCCCCCCCCCCCCACACCGTGACAGTTTTTGTGTTGAGAAACAACGATTACGTTGTTTAAATTTTGTGGTGTGTGTGTGTGGGAATGGCGTGTGCGTGCTCGTGTATGTAGTTTGTGTATCCGGCTGCTAACCCGGAAGTCTCGCGTTCGGATCCCGGGCTCGAGTTTAACTCTACTTGATCTACCCATGGGTCGCTAGGTTCGATTCGTTGACCTGTGCGCGTGTGTGTGTGTATGAATCTATTTTGAGGTGTACATTATGAGTGGAGACATAATCCTGACCACAATATCCCTTCATATGTCGAGTCAAATAAACAGGTGAACACTACTTCATCTGCCGTATGGATCGCCAGGGTAACTATGATCTAACCCCCTAGCACCGCCTACGCCACTACCCCCCCCCCCCCCCACCCCGACCACCCCCACAGCATAGATCTTGTAACACGAGACGGCTTGTAAGCACCTCACCAAGTCAGCAGCCCTTAAAATTTACTGCACCGCGAACCGGCGGGGTTATCCGATTCTTTATGGGGTTTTTGTCGGCAAAGGGGAGAGAACGCATTCAGGTTGCCGTGACAAAAGGGGAAATAACTTTTTGTACCTGGCTGGAGTTACCGTTAATTGTGTACCGGCCAACGTAGGAAAAACAATTTTTATGTTTATAAGGATTTTTTTTACTTTAAATTTCTATTTTTAGTAAGTTAATGTAACGGTTACTATAACTACCGAACACAACTGATCAGATAATAAGTTAATCTAAACGCTTGGTGTGTGGCTCAGTGGCGTAGCTACCGTAAAGCTAGTGTAAGCAAGGCATAGGGGCCCAAGGCAAATAGGGGCCCCTTTTCGAAAGTTTGAGGGGGGGGGGGGGGGGAAATCGAAAGTCTGAGGGGGGTGCATATCGAAAGTTTGAAGGGGGGGGGGGTGCAAATCGAAAGTCTGGTGGGGGTCGCAAATCGAAAGTTTGTCCCCTGTCGCCGAGAAGGGTCCTTATGCCTCTGAGGGGCCCACTAACACTTTTTGCATAGGGGCCCAAAAATCCTAGCTACGCCACTGGCGTGGCTCATAAAAGCATACATAAGTATCTGTCGAGATTTCTTTATAAATCTCTTTCTAAATGTCTTTTTTTTTTTTAAATGACTTCCTCGATGTCTTCCTGATATTTTTCTCTGAAAAATCTTTCTAAATGATGGTTTTCTAAAATGTCCATTTTGGGGTCTTTATAAATGTCTTTTTAGGCCTCTCCCCGGATGTCTTTCCGAATGTCTGTCTGCATGTCTTCCTAGAAGTCTGCCTGCCAGCTCATGCATGTGCAGTGTTGTTTCTTTCAGACTTTTATTTGGGGGTGGGGGGATGGGGGCAGCACTTGAAGCTGTCGGGGGGAGGGGAGCGGATTAACTTTTCCGAGAAGGGGGGGGGGGGGAGA